ATCTTGCCATGCTGCTCTCAGGAGGCGGTGGATACTTCTCATGTGAAAGGTGTTCAGATGCCTTTCTTGCCTCACTGACATATAGCAGTGTGCTGGTAATGCAGACTTTGTCCACTGCCATCTTTGTCTTCACTGACAAATTGGGATTGGTCCACACATGTTTTGTTAGGCACGCTTGTGTTGTGGCTGCCTTCTTGATTCTCTTGTCAATCTCTGCATCTAAAGAGTGGTTTTCAGTGATGGTGGAGCCAATGTATGTAAACTGATGGACCACATTGAGCTTATAGTCATCAATGGTGATGGCTGGTGGTGTTTCAGTACCTTGTCCCAGTATGTTTGCTTTTTCAGGCTGATGGGGTTCATCAGTGACTGAGGCTCATACTACTGCCGCATCATTGGCAAAAAGCATGTCTCTGACAAGGGCTTCATGTACTTTGGTCCTCGCTCTGATGCAGGCAAGATTGAACAACCCGCCATCTGATCTCGTACGCAGGTAAATCCCTTCTCTTGATGCACAAAATGTATGCTTCAGAAGCAACACTAAGAAAATCCTGAAGAAGGTGAGAGCGAGGACGCAGCCCTGTTTGACTCCACTGTGGATGTTGAAGGGCTCAGAGGTGCTGCCATTGAACTGCACAGTACCCCTGCAAGTCACTATGGAATGACTCAATCAAGCTTGAGTGGGCAGCCAGTCTTGGACAGGATTCTGAAGAGGTCTTCTCTGCTGACAAAGCTTGAATGCCTTGGTTAGATCAAAAAAACAATGTACATTGACATCTGCCATTCTCTGCACTTCTCTTGGAGCTGGTGGAGGGAGAAGACCAGGTCTACTATTGATCTTTCAGCTCGGAAACCACACTGCAACTCTGGATAGACACGTTCGGCAAGTTTCTGCAGGCGGACCAAGATGACCCAAGCGAAGACTTTGCCCACAACACTGAGTAGTGAAATGCCTCTGTAGTTGTTGCATTGCTTCATTCACCCTGGTTCTTGTGAAGGGTGATGATCTTCGCATCTTGTGCAATGGGAGCAGTAGGGCAGTCTTGCAGTGTCCAATCAGGTCAGGGGGCTCCTGTTACTGCCAGGGGCCTTCCCTCAGGCCAAGCTGTCAATTACCTTGCTAAGCTCCTCTATGGTCTGTTTGGTATCGAGGTCCTCCATGACCAGCAGGCACTCAATGGCTGCGATTGTCACTACATTCTGCCTGAAGTAGAGGTCGGAATAGTGTTCCACCCATCTCTCCATTGTCCCTTGTCTACGATGACTTCCCTATTGGTGGATTTGAGGGCTGTCTTGTTCTGCACTGGTCCCATTGCCATCTTGTTGCCATCGTATATCCCTCTTATGTTCCCTGTAACTGCTGCTGTCTGGATGGTTTTGCTAAGCTCTGTCCAGTACTTATTGGTGCAATGCCTGGTGGCAGTTTGATGAGCTTTGCTCCTGGAAGACTTGAGAATCTGCAGGTTTCTCTTGCTGGGTAACCACTTGTATTCTGCAAGAGCAGCGTGCTTGGCCACAATAACAGGAGTGATCTCAGCAGACTTTGCCTCAAACCTGTCTTATGACTTTAAGGTCATAAGTGGCCAAGGCATTGTGGTACAGTATCCTGCAAGGTCACCCACTTTTCTTAATTTATCCACTTAATCCTATATTAATCGGATCTACTTGGATTACTTACCCACGGATTTTTTTTACCTATATATATATATATATTCATTGTCTGTTATATTTAACAATATATGTTATATATATATATATATATATATATATATGTGACGGTTACACACCTGGCCCAGTGTCGGATCCTTTTGTTACGGGCGCTATCCGGTGACGTCGTCCTCCTGGTCGCCTCCTGGGTCCAAGCGTGCGCTCCAACCCTTTGGTCAGATGATCACCAGCCTCGCCTTTCCACGACCGCCCAATACCTGGTCACTAAAGCAACTATACCCGATCTCGTCTGTCTACCCACGCTGTGTTTAGATCTTAGACAGACGGGACCAGCAGGATTTAATACAACAAGTCGAGTCCGGACGGGTGGCAAAACACAAAATAAAACAAAACTCACGACACTAAACAAAATTGCTGATAAAAAGGGTAACAACCTTTATATCTTAATGTCCGTTACATAAAAAAACAAATTGTTCTCAATTCCCACCATTTGTGGACTATGGCACCAAGCTTCTATCACACAATAGAAAAATGTCGAATTACCTACTTTCTAGAATCATGTATGTATGTCGGAGTGGGTTCCAGTTCGACATCAGGGCTAATTTCATCGATCATTCGCAGTTGATTCTTCTCTCCGACTTGAGTTGTATTTCTTCTTCTTCGCCTGCTTGGGCTGATAGTTTTCCTGTTTCAACTTGGTGGAAGATTTCTTGTTTCAACTTACGCAACTCTCTGTCGCCTGAGGTGGTCTCTTCACTGCCGTCCGGCTGAACTCTTCTGTCTTCGACTTGGGCTGGAAGGATTTCTTGTCGAGGATTCTTTTTGCCCGCAAAGGGCGAGTGAATCGGGCCTGATGGCGCGCTCAGGCTCTATCCCTGCCCGCGTCCAACTCTCAACTCCAACTGCAACCCAACTCTACTGATTTCTGTCGATGTCCTTTATATTGACGCCGCGAACAAACTGGGTTGGGTCTGTCGGCGTCAGGGTTTTCTCGATAATTCCAAAAGTCGCATTATTTTTGATTTCTCATTATCGCTATTGTTTTCACCCCTACTTCTCATAGTGCTTTTTTGGTGGGGAGGCGATTATCCATCTCTCTCGGTCTCTCGTGGATGTCAGGTGACCGCTTTTCGACTAATAATGAGATTCTGATCGAGCATTTCTTTTTTTTTTTTTCCGCAACCACGGACCCGCCGGGCTAATGGGATTCTGGTTGAGCATTTTTTCTTTTCTTTTTCTGCAGCCACGTGACTTTTGCCAATGAGATCCTGATTGGGCTTTCCCTGCAATCAATCGGGGGTTTATATCGTTCTTGTTCTAAAAAACAAAATCTAATTTTTCCTTTTTTTTTCCGCACGCACGAAAAAATGACCATCTTGGCTCTCTCACCTGGACTTTGTCAAACAGCCCGCTGCTAATTAGACTTGACTTCAGAAAGGATCTTTTCCGCCTTTCTTACGCCCCCTCTGTGAGCCAAAAAGCAATTGTCCCTCTTTTTACCTCTTTGTTTTTCCTGATAGTCGAAAAATCTTAATTATCTACTTTGAAAATGTCTCCACTTTTATTAACGTGGTGTCCAATTTTAACAGGTCAGGATCTGTATATCGCTCCACCGGTCACTCCCTCAACCCAAAGACACTTTTTCTCTGATTAAAATTTCATTTCTATTGTTCTAAACCAAATTGATAAGGAGTCTCTCCACTAAAAGTCGGTCAGATGCTTTGATGATATCTGGTCTACATCAGCGTCCGCTTTTGATATCATGTCTTTTTCCTTTCTTTTTTTATTATTGCTAATTCTATTCTTCCAATTGTCTTTCGAAAAATCGGCCAAGACGCTGACCTAAATCTCTTTCTGACTCCTATCTCCACCCTCAATTGGGTCATGCATCATACAACTCTTTTTCTCTCTTCTTCTTTTTTTCTTTTTTTTTCTTTCTTCTTCTTCCCTTAAGATCGTCTAGTACAATCTTAGTGAATTATTTTCAACTCAGTTATTTCCGCTTTAAAAAAAAAAAAATCAACAACCTGTTTAGTAAACTGAGTAAGAAAAATTAAATCATATTTCTATGAAATTTAATAATGCAAGGTGCCACATATATATATATATTCATTGTCTGTTATATTTAACAATATATGTTATATATATATATATATATATATTCATTGTCTGTTATATTTAATAATATATGTTATATATATATATATATATATATATATATATATATTGTCTGTTATATTTAACAATATATATTTATATATATATATATATATATATATATATATATATATTCATTGTCTGTTATATTTAACAATATATGTTATATATATATATATATATATATATTCATTGTCTGTTATATTTAACAATATATGTTATATATATATATATATGAAGATATTTTGAAATATATATAAGAAATTCATTGACGCTTCGTTATATTTTCAAAAATATATGTTATTATTTATATAAACAGAAAAAGAAAAGAAATGAAAAGAATTCATTTCTGTTCCAAAAAGTTTGATTATTTTTGAAATGAAAAAGAAAAGAAAAATTTTAAGAAAACTAGAATATTATGAAAGCGCTGCCCATGTGACTATTGGATACCATGTTAGACGGAAGGCTATCATTTTAAAATTTTCAGTTATCTGTTCTGAATAAGACTTGTGTTTTTATGTCCATCAATTTGTCATATTGAACTGAATTGTATTTTGATGAATATTGTCTTGAAAAAGGTTTAATAAACCAAAACGTCAGACGCTCCATATTTTCTTTCATTTAACCACATTTAAGGATTTTTGTTTGTTTTTCAAAATTTCTTCATTGCCTCGGATTTATATCCATTTATATATATATATATATATATATATATATATATTCATTGTCTGTTATATTTAACAATATATATATGTTATATATATATATATATATATATTTGGGGTGAGGTTAAAAAGAGCATCATCAGATCACAACAGATTATCTTACAAAGAAAATCATATATGAGAGACAATGAAATAAGTATGGACAAAAAATGATAAAATTCTTTAGTATACATTTTAGACAAATTATTGTATATTTTAAAGAATATATACATACATATATATATATATATATATATATATATATATATATATATATATATATAAACACACACACAGAAATTTTGCTTATCTGTTGGTAACAACATGTTTTAACAGAGAACTGTCTAGGATGTCTGTCTCCTTCAGTCATTGAGTAATGAAAAGAAAGTTTTGGAATTGTTTTGTTTGGTGGTAAAACGATCGTTCTGATGCATCATGGGTATATTCTATTTTATTTAACTATTTTTAATCTAACTTTTTCTTTTTTTTTATTGTCAATTACCATTCTTATCTGTATTTTAAAATATTTTTATTGTTAAACTTTTAATTTTTCTTTTATTTTGGTTTTAGACTACTACGTAGTCTAGTAATAAGGGTTGGGGCAGGGTATTTAGTAATTTATTTGTTGCTATCACTACACAGGTTTACCCAGAATACTATAAATGTAATAATGGAATTGAGAGTACAACTAAGATATCATTTTGCTGAAGAAATTAAATGTTCATATTAATCTGGAAATGTGTTCATCAATTAAGTGTGTAGTATATTTTAAATGCTTTTAAAAGTATATAATATATTTTAAACATTTTTACAAAAATTCTAGCTGCACTTCTAATGAATGCCACTATTAACAGAACAAATTCAGCAAGTTGAAACTGATGAAATCAATATAATACAGAATTTTACATTTAATGTTTCTCTTTCCTCTCTTCACCAATTAAATATCTTGACCACTCCACCTCATTGTCATATTCACAGGGATTGTTTTTAATTATTTTTCAAATTAAACTTTACTTATATTGGAAAAGAAAAAAGTGAACTTTTATAAATATTTGCCTTTAGGAAAAATACATGAATATGCAAATTATAAAATTAATTTATCAAAACCTGTAAGTTCAGCTTTAACAATGGTTTTACTTACTGAAATTTGATTATTTTACTACATTTTCATTCAGTTTTTTCTGTGACTTAATAGTTCAAAGATGTTCTTGTTTAGATGGCTTCATATTGTAGTTCTAAGGCATTTAATATTTTTTGTCCAGCTTTCACAACATAATAAAGAACTGGCCAGTTTACTAAAACCAACTGGTAAAGACATTTATGGAGATCAAGCCTTGGATTTCTATGCAAAACATACAGCACAAATTGAAGTGAGTAAAAATGATTATTTTTTAAATTTTTTTTTTTTAATCAGTAACATGCTTTTAATATTGTTCTGTTAAAAGTATTTTCAATATTTGGGGATATATAGTTATGAGAATGGAAAGTATTATAATTTTATGCCTCCTGGTATATTTGTCTGGCAAACAATATTTGGTCGACTCATGTGAGTTTGGATAAAAACAAGACATAAAACATGGAATTCAAACAAATAACAATAAATATATTTACAAGATGTGTTACATAAGGATAAAGAAAAAAACTAAGTTGAAGTTACAAACAGTTCAATACAATCTTCATGTCTGTTTGAACAAAAGGAAACATGTCTTGCTGCTCCAAAAACAAAGAAAATTTCAAAATATCATGCCACTCTTGATTATTGTCAGAGGGCAGTAATCCAACTAATATATATATATATATATATATATATATATATATATATAATAATCTTGAAGGAAAATTGAGCATTTAATTTCATTTTTTTCATTTACTAGCTAAATTCTTTTGAAATGAAGGTAAAATTAATTTTTCAGATTGTGAGAAATGATAGAACCTTGGAAAGAATTGTTTTCCCCATCCCAGAAATCTGTGAATATTTAACTGATGAAACCAAGAACAAAGTTTATTATACTGCTGAACGTGATGACCAAGGAAGCAAAGTAGCAGATTTCTTTGAGAGACACGAGACATGTTTGCTGAAATGAAGTGGCAAAGACAACTACGTGGTTTGTTGATAACAGCAATGTTTATAATTAATATTTTCACAAATTCTAAATAAATACATATCTATCTATCTATCTATCTATATATATATATATATATATATATATATATATATATATATATATATATATAATCATATATTCTTATATTTTCTGATTAATCTCATTTAGTGCTTAATATTGTTTTTTCTTTTATTCTTTTTTTTTAACATGATTTAAATTTTAGCACTTTTAAGTGTTAATTTATGTTATGTTTATTTTAAAAAAAAAAAACATTCTATTGCATTTAACTTTTAGAAAAAAACATTGCATTTAATTATAAGAAGTATTTTTCCTTCTTCAGCCAATTCCCTACTGTTCTGGTTCAGCAGTCACATGCTGCTTTGGGGGAGCATTTCTTTCAACTTAGCTGTTCTTATGAATCTGCTAGTGGCCTTTTTCTACCCATTTGAACAATCTACAAAAGGTATGTTGTTTTAGATTTTATTTCCATCATTGTAAGATTACTTCAATAATTTTTTTTAAGTAAAAGTTGTTCATTTTATTTTTATTTTCTTTTAATCTCTTTTGTTCCTATTTGATAAACATTGTCTATATTTTTACATTGGGTGGGTGACTGTAATTTAGTATCTTAAAAATAATTCTGAGATCTTTCATAATGCCAGGTGCCAGTTTTATGGAAATATTGCAAATTTATATGTATTATTGCATGGGAAAGTAAAATAGATTTTTTATTTTCTTAAAAAATATTTTCAAAAATTTTTAAGGGTCTGTAATGTGTTGCTTGTTTTTTACTCAACAAAAATAGACAATTTTATGATTATGAGAAGTATTATGAAAATCTATGAATTCAGCGCATTTAAAAAAAAATGATAATTTAATAATTACTGTTAATGCTGATTTGTTTTAATGGTTATTTGATATTTATCTTCAATATTTAAACTTTTACATAATGCCATCTATGTTTTTGTTAGCTACCATTAGAAATTGTTATATAAGACTATAATTTACTAGAAAGACCTATGAAAATTTTATGGTTTTCTTATTTGAATTTTCTAAATTTTACTTAATTCTTCAGTTAATGATTGCATAAGCTCATGGTGAGTTCTATGACAATAAAATATCCATAGAAATTCTCCTCACATCACATCATTAAGTATTTGACCATAAAAACTTTAACAAAATATTGCAATAAATCATAAATATGAATGCTGGTCATTATTTTAAGAAGTGGGTACAGATGAAAAGATTTGAAATTGACAACTTTTCCCATTTCATTGAAATAGCCATTAAACAAGTCTATCTTAACTTCTTTTTCATTCATTTTCTTACTGAAACCAAGTAGTCTTTTCTCCCTATTTCCACGCAATTAAAATGTGATAGTCTATTGGCTGTGCTAACAAAGGGAGGAACAAGCACCATTGTAATAGGATTATGACAAATAAAATGAAATTATTTTTAGAGTCACTCTGAAAACGATATCTCTGATTTTATTATATATTAGAGGCTAAGGTGTTGAACTTCCCTGTTAATAATCCGTAATATTTTTGCTTTGTTAGAGATGTCAATTTTGTTTGACAAAATGGTTCCTGTCATATGAATGTGTTTACAGAGCAATGTGGAAAAAAGAATTAAGTTCATTGACATTCAAGGAATATTTAGAGATCAAAAAGTAGATGTGTGTATAGTTAAGCAGTGGATAAGACACATGCTGATCAGAAATGCATATTCAATAATGGTAACTGTTTAAAAGAAAAACAAAGTATTTTCTAACTGAAAATTTGCTCTATTAAATGGTGTTATTGTGGTTCCTGTATCTGTTATAGTTTCTGTAGAAATAAATGGCATTACTTTCAGAGAGTAAATTATAAAGAATGATGTTCAAATGCAGCCATAGCACAGGCTTTGTTTTTCTTGCCATAGTATTATTGTGTGTCAACAAATATATACTTTCCTCAGTATTGCCTTGACTTGTTTTTAAACTGATATTTTCTCTTTATCAGTGTTTGCCAAATTCTATTGTAAAATCTAGAATACACTTCCTGCTCTCAAGATTCTGTTTTTAATAATTGATATAAATGAGTATTTAAAAATAACTTTAAAAATTAAAGATTATCAATTACACATTTTTTTTACGATCATGTAAACGTTACTGATTTTATTTATTTATTTTTTCTTTCTTACAGCAGAACTTGATCCTCGTCTCTCGGGACTCGTTTGGACTGCAATGGTTGTATCATTAATTATAGTCATTATGGTCCCTCGGCCTTCAGGAATTCGAACTCTGATAGTATCAACAATTTTACGACTAATATACTCTGTTGGATTAGAACCAACTCTCTGGCTACTAGGAGCTCTTAATGTAAGTTTCTTCTTAGTGATGTTCTTTATCTTTTGATATTATCATCCAAATATATTTAGCTTTTGAAAAATAAAGTTGAAATGAATGTAATTTTTTATGAAGTACTGGAAGAAAATATTTGCATAAATTGGGAAATAAAAATACAGACACCATTGATAGATCATCAGTCTGATAAATTTCTCTCTGGAAAAAAGCTCTAAAAAGAAGCCTTTAATACTTACTGTTACTGATTGTTACACTTAAATATAGGTTCAAATCCCAATAGTGCTTTGTCTTGTTCTTTTATCCTGATCATTATATCAAACCTATTGTCTTGTATTTAGTCAAAAATTATACAAAGAATAAAATGTAATTGCAAATGCCGAAAGTGGTACTAACTTCGACTTTTAAGTGCCCTTTTCATGTTGAACAGAATCTTTTTATAATTTAAAGTATTTTTTTTTTGTTTTGTGTATATTTTAATAAAACAAAATTATTACTCTTAATTCTGTGTAATTACTTTTAGCTTAAAATCAATCTGGAACTTCTTTATATGCCATCATAATTTCTTATTTGTTTTCAGGTACTCAATAAAGGCATATTCATTGTGAGTCTAATGGGTAACAGAGGAACTTTCACTCGGTCATTTAAACATTTACTTATGGATTTGGAGCTTGTTTATCACATCATTTATCTCTTACTTTGTGTACTTGGATTGTGTGTTCATGAATTTTTTTACAGTTTACTGGTAAGAGATTTTTTTTATTTCATTCTTTTTGCTTATGAATTGTGGAATTTTTTCCAATGTCATGATCATGAATTTCTAAATTATTTTTCAAACCATATTGAATAAAATAATAAACAACTGAAGTCATAACCAAAGGGAAATATTCAATACTACAAAAATTCTCTTATTAAAAATATTCGATTTTTCTTAACTTTAAAATTTCAATTTCTATAAGAAATATAAGTAAAATTACCTTTCTTTTGCGATTTTAGATTACTAATTGATGACAAATATATAAATTTGTTCACTAACATCCATTTAACTGTATTATAGTTATTTAAGAGTTTGTGTTTTCTTTATTATCTCCCATTTCAAAAACAAAAAAACTCTTGTTTGGAATGACATTTTTCAGAGTTCATGTTTCTGTCTAAGTATTGTACTGTGTCTGTCTTAATTGCTTTTGACATCTGTTTAAAAATAGGCACAAAATATGTAGACATTTCATTTTAATTAAATGTTAAATATTGGTTAATTTTTATTGGACTTTATTTTATTGTAAATTTGCTTTGTGAGAAAATAATGGAAGGTTAGAATAGAAAATACAGTAACTTTTTAAATTTTGAGGTTGAGTTCATTTTTGTCAAGTCCCTGAAACATTTCTTTCTCTTTCCTTTATCTAAAACTTTTTTCTTTATTACATATTCATTTCTTTAGCTGCTTGATGTTGTTTATCGAGAAGAAACGCTGCTGAATGTAATCAAATCTGTCACCAGGAATGGGCGCTCAATTATTTTAACTGCAGTTCTTGCTGTCATTCTCATCTATCTCTTTTCCATCATTGGTTATGTATTCTTTAGGGATGATTTCATGATGGAAGTGGAGCATCTGGCTGAGATTTCAGGTAAAAAAAACAAAAAAACTTCACCTGTCTTTGGGTGTACCCAGCAACTTTTATAAACAATGTCATGGTGTTGAATGTTTTTCCTTTTATCTTTTTATAGGAAATTCATTACTTTTTCCACAGTACAGCTCTATCTCAACAATAGCATGAGGTTGTAATTAATGTGATAACTTAGGAATTCCAAAAACAATTTTCTAATAAACAAAAACAAATTTTGTGTAAATCATTGTCTTCAAGTAAAGTTGACTTTGTCTTTAAATATTCAAATGATTACCTTTTAAATGACACATGTAATATTTTAAAATAATTTTTTAAAATGTAAAATGTCTAAAAATAAAAATGTTAAAATGTTGCAGGTAAAATGTCAGAATTTCATGTTGTTTGATTGTTAATGACCTAGAAAAGAACATTGTTTGCCCTGAAATATCAAATATTTTGGATAATGTATAGATGAGATTTAGTAATGCATCTAAATAATTTCATTGAAACAAAATAAATTGATGAGAGTAATGATTTGATTCAATAGAGTAATGTTTATATATTTTGGAGAATGCTTCCTTTTTTATAACTGTGGAATTTAATCTGAAAATATTTTACTTTTAGTAAATGCTGGCAGTAACAGTACAACAGAAGAGACCTGCTCAAGTAATGAAACTTGTTCAGTGTCGCAAAACATGTCCCACTGGCTGAATGATAGTAAGTAACATCTTCAGTGGCAATAAATTTAAAAAAGCACATTTGAAAATTTACTTTACTGGCCAAAGAATAAGTGCATATTTGGAAGATAATACTCAATAGTACTGGGTCTTGTATATGTGTAGGTAGAATCAGAAATTGTCCAGTTCTCTTAGCACTTACCTATTTGGGATGCTTCAGACATCAGTGTTTGACCTAGACCCTCCCAATATAATAGAGAAGATGCAACTTTAGGGCCATTAAGTAGTGTTTCTATTGATACAAAGGAAAGAACTCTTAGTTTTGTAACAATTTTTGCTATCTGGATTTATTTTTCTTGTTAATCTGCAAGTAAATAATTACAACTAAATTCAGATAAACAAGTAGCTCTTTTAATTTCATATTAAAGCATTTTTTGTGCTATTAAAAATTATTAAAAACAGCATTTGTATTAGAGATGTGCAAGATGTAGGACTTCCTTTCTGAAGTGTAAGCGTTCTCAAAGCAAATTTGTTACTTTCACAACACAAAGAAAAATCACTTGTAACACATCAGGAAAATAACTCACTCTCCAACAAACGCCGTAGCCAAAAATGCCCGAATTTTCCTTCCGGTGTACCTGATTATCTCGTTCACTACACTCCCCCCTGTCACATAAGTGACACTCATGGGTGGGCCTCTTTATTCTTAATCTTCTCTGGAGCGGGGCGACTGTTGGAGGAGATTGTGTGTTATGTTCTGAGGTTTCTTCTGATCTGACAACCTCATGCGCAGAGTCTTCATCATCTGAAGAATGTTCTGAAGATTCTTCTTCTGAGGATTCTTCTGGTCTGACAACCTCACGCACAGAGTCTTTACCATCTGAAGAGGTGCTAGCCCTACCTCCGATGGTAATTATTCTTCGGCAGATCGCACACAAAACACAAACTTTTTTCCGGGTGAGGATCGACACAACAAATGATGCTCCCCTTAGACACATGATAGCGGGAGTCATTACTAGGGTGCGTCAAGATGACCCCGTACATGTAGACACATACACAGCTCATGCTGATGTGTGTGCACAAAAATCTTATAGCGAATGTAAAAACCCAGAACGACTGGAGGATGGTGCTCGGGTGCTCGGCTTGCAGGTCTGGGGGGAGCACAACATGCTTTACTGGAAATGTGGAAATGTGGAAGCGAGCTCCCGGACATTCCCAAACACATGACCCGACGCAGCGTGTTTTCATTATGTGGAAAGCTGGTGGGACATTTTCCCGTGGGCGGATGGATGGATCCGCATTGCAACTGCATTTATTAAACGTAGGGTGACTGCTGTCACTTCCGGCTGGGATGACACAACAAATGATGCTCCCCATAGACACATGATAGCGGAAGTCATTACTAGGGTGCGTCAAGACGACCCCGTATGTGGTAAATGGTGCGTTGAGGGCGATACATTATTGTCTCTCGGAGTAACATTGTACCACGGCCATCAACGGGATGAGGCCTCTTGGAGGACCAAGCTCTTCCTTGGGATACGGAGTCAGCCATCCGTTATCCAGCTACACCTGCAATTCGCGCTGGTATTCTTCCTTGACGCATTCGGGCACCGAATATTCTGACACTAAGTTCTGGAGCTTTTCTGGTGGGTTATTTTCCAACCATTTCCAAAATGCTGTCCATGTCTTCGTCCTTTGGTCAAACTCTGCGCTAAAGTTGGGTTCGTTGATCTTCAAAGTAGAACAGATGGGCAGATCAGAAAACTTGACTTCGCCTCTGTAATCGCGTGACGCCCAGCTCCTTAATAATGTCCATCCCAAGGAGCAGATCGAACCTAATAACGCTGTCCACGACCAACACACTGACTGTGACAGGGTCACCGTTACAATACTGAGTTTGATGTTTCCAACTCCCTGGCTTCTGAGAGCCTTTCCATCAGCCGTTAAATATCGTCCATCTTTTGTCTGCTCCACTGTCGGCAATCGAACGCTAAGTGGAGTGACCGAGCAGCCCGAATCTATTAAAGCGGGTACGCGTTATTCCATTGATGTGTACCTTAATCACAGGGAGCGCCTCTTTCATGCTCGGTGCGGGCAAGAGACCGGCGCTGACGTCGCATCCCCCATTCCATTTCCCGGACATTTAGAGGCAATATGACCTACTTTATGATATTGAAGCATCATAGATCAGACATGCCTTTTACGCGCCGATTTCTTTTTCTTTTGCGTTGATAGCGGCAGTCTCTGGCAAAATGATTCGCCCAGAGCACCCGATAGCAGGTGGCAACGCCGTGGTGACGTAATGGCTGGGTCGGACCTTCTTCTGCTGGTTGAATAACCGCGCCACTAGTTCATCAACCTCTTTTTTCGCCGATCATGACAGCACAGGCTCTGGTCAACAATTGATTGAGCTTGGTCTTCCATTCTGGATGATGCTGAGTATCTGCTTAACATGACTGGGCAATCCAGAAACGAAGGCACATGTCATCCATTCTTCAGGAAGCGGTGCATTGAACGGGCGAAGCTTTTTAATTCTGCCAAATATACGCCTACTGTCTCATGGTCGTAGACGCCGTGCCTGAAATTGGTCAGAGGTCACGAACCGTCAGTTCCAAACGCGTTAGTAGAGCGCGCTTTATTTGCTCAATGTCACTTTTCTGTTCTTTACTCAGCTGCCTATACACAGCAAGGGCACCGCCATTTAATCGCAGAGGAAGAATCCGATCACTCTTCGATATCTCGATAATTCGCAGACCAGTTCCACCTTTTCGATCCATTCAACCACAGACTGTCCACTAGTATCACCACTGAATTAGGGATCAGTTTTATATCGAACGTCTTTCCGCCATCTTGCGAGACAAAGTAAACGCCAAATAGCTTGAAGTGTAAGCGTTCTCAAAGCAAATTTGTTACTTTCACAACACAAAGAAAAATCACTTGTAACGCGTCAGGAAAATAACTCACTCTCCAACAAACGCCGTAGCCAAAAATGCCCGAATTTTCCTTCCGGAGTACCTGATTATCTCGTTCACTACACTTTCTTCATTTTTTCTTATGTTAAAGTATAACATATATTATTTTCTTTTAGAAAAGATGTATGTAGAAGTTTTAACACTAGATTTTTTGTGAAAAATTTACTGAGTATATATTCACTTATATCTGGTTATTCCCAAACTCAAAAGAAAATTATAATGATAAAAAGTTGGATTCTAAGCTGAATTAAAATCACTTAAAGTGTTTCACTTTGAAAAAAATCCTTGTATGTTGTGGTTTGATTTCTGCTTGATATTAGTAGCTGGTTTTCAAACTAAATTAAAACACCAAAATTAGATGTTTTTCAAAGTAAGCAGCCTCTCTGTACTTGGAAGATTGACATTTTTGTCTTGCCTTGTTCCCCTAAAATAAGAAAGTTATTTTGGTTTAAGTAAAAATAATTTTTCCCAACTTTATTGAACAAAACTATTCTGCTATTTTTTCAAACAACTTCATAATTCTACCCTCCCAGAACTTTTAATCTTTTTGAACCAAGTTAGTGCCTTTTGTAGGTTTTCAGCAAATTTAATTTTTCCATTAAGACAATTCTATAAATGGTAATCTTGAAGGTGCCATATCTATTCAAAATGGCAGATGAGGGAAAACTTTCTCAGCCATGCTGTAAGAAATTTTACCTGGTCAAAGAAACATCTCTCATATTCACCTTTTAACTAATGATGAGATGCTTTTTATTAGTGCCTTCAAATGACTAAATTGGAAGCAGTATTTAAGATTGTTTGTTTCTCTGGAAGAAACTTATTTTAGTGAACAGTCAATCCTACCATATACACATCATCACCTTTATATGATGACCAGCCTTTGGTATGGTTAGTGATGGTCCATTTTGTTCCATGATCTCTTTTTGCATTCCATATTGTTTTAAAGTATCCACTTTTCAACACTCATTACAATTTGTCCCCAAAATTTCTTTTAAGTAGAAAATCATACATAGAAAAATAGTCTTTTATTTATTTTGCATATGTAGAAGCCAACTGACAGAGCAACCAAGCTAATACAAATGATTTGCAAAGCTTGATTCGAATTGAGTGTTTTGGTTATCTTCTATCACATACTGTTGGTTATTTTCAAGTAATCTCTTCATTTGATTGCTTATCAACTTTAACTTAATTTTGTACAAAACTTTTCAAAACACTTTTGAAATGTTTGAGCATTCACAGTACCTTCTCCATAAGGCGTATAAATATTTTGGGGTTTAAGTTGCAGTTTTACCTTTATTAAATAACAAAAAAAACACAAAATGTCAAATGCTATTTCTTTTGTTTTCAATAAACTGAAATGTGCTAATTTGATGTTTTTATAAATGCACACTATTAGGCTATGGGCCAGAGGCCAAAAAAGGGCTTAGATTTTGAGTTTGTGGACATTTTATTCATATGAGAAAATTTCAAGTGTTTCTGGGAGTATTTTTCGTGCTGATTTCAAATCTGAAGAGATCTCCAGGCTAAATGTGCGCACTGCTTCAGAAAAGGGGAGATAATACAGGGTGTGTCATTTACGGAAAAAGTCCATTTTCATGGTTTACTTCATGTAAAATGAACTTTAAATAAGTTTTTTTTAGCACATTTAAGTATATCAACAAGAAGCTGATATATCTATGCTCTTATATTATGTGTTAATTTATTTAATCAGGAATTTTCAGCAAATAAAATGACTTGCATAAAGCCACAACAATGAAAATGTTACTTTCTATTGTCGTGTGAGTTTCTCAAATTCAATAACCTCGTAAAACATTGCAATGTACATTAATTTGATAAAAAACATGAAAAAACCTTTATATATGTTTCCAAATCTTGTGCCTTCCAAAAATCATAGATGGAAGAACTGTTTTCAAATACTTCTGGTGATTGACTTTTCTTCATTTTGGACTGCCATTTACTTTTTTGATGTAATTTTGTCACACATACACATTGACTGATATAGAAATCTTAATGTTTAGACTAACTTTGACTATATATATATATAAAAAAAATATTGTAATAAGAGTTT